ACGGATTTGTCAACATTTTTGCTTTTGTGTATACACTGGGCTTTAGTCTTAAGTCTACACTGAAAGAAATGCATTTGGCCTCCAGGCACAAAGTATAAAAGCTGCAGCAGAGAAGTTTAAGCATGTAGCAGAGAATCTTAAAGGAAGGATTTGGTAAAGTTTTGACTAAGTATAGTACAGCATGCTTGTCTGTCAACGAAAGAAAAACAAAGCTTTACTCCGATTGTGTAATGTGAATCCCTGCTTTTGTGTTTGACTGACATTTACCTTGAACATTGAATTACTTAAACCCACTGCTGCCCGTTAGCATTTTGTATAATCCAAATGTTAACACAGAGTCGAAGAAAACAAACCCCAAAAACAAGGCAGGCAGTTGGTAAACGGTTTCTTAATCATAATAGTTTTTTGCGGCCCTAATCAAGCCATACCTAAATTCTTGTCCTATTTTTAACGGTCAGGAAAGAGGGTCAGCGATGACATGCTAAACTTGTTGGCTCTGCGCTATGGAGCCTCCTCTGGACACATCACCCTGGAGAGCTTCATCAGTATGGTGCTGCGCTTCGACTGCATGAGCCGTAAGTACAGATGGGTAACCGATGACGCGAAACAACACTAAAAAGTACCTAAACACGTATTACATTTAACTTTGAGTCTCTCTCTTGTGCTGTCACAATTTGAAATGACCTCAATAAACAAAACATGGACTACCAGGTTTACTCTTGTGGTTTAAAGTGACAGTTCTCAATTAAATGTTGAATGTGTACTGTAAATTCTTTTGAGCAGTAATACTGGAAAACACAGAGAGGCTCCCGGAAGCTGGAACTGCAGTCCTGAAGGGTTATTGAGCGCTTAACCAAGGGACCAAACAATGTAAATACAGAGAAGATAAAGTGTTTACGCTGCATGCCAAAGTCAGTTTTCATGCACAGCCATTCTGTAAATGTTTTTGCCTAAGCAGGGTAAGCAGTAAACTGAACCTAGGGTTAAGTTATTTTGATACTTTACAGATCGCTGTCTCTCTATCTTCCTGGCCTTACATGGCAGAGAACACTGGTCCAGCCTAATTATTTTCAGCTAAGGGCTAACAGTTCTGCTCGACTCTGTTAAGTTGACTACAAAACTAAAGCTGGGCTGGGTGGGACTCAATTGTAAACAACAGGAACTTTTAAGACTTCAATTTAACACAAAGCATGGCAAGGAAAGGCAAGGCAAATGGAACCGAACCAAACTTTACAGTACAACATACAAGAATCCGACAAAGACTAACTAAAACTAGAACTTAAATGCTGAACAAAGGAGAAGATAAATGCAGGAATACAGAAGGTCTGATGGTTTAAGGGCTAATGAGGAATGGGTGAAACTAACAGACCAGGGGCCGTATTCACAAAGGATCTTAGGGCTAAAAGTAGCTCCTAACTGGCGAATTTAGGAGAAACTCCTAAACATAATGGGCGTGTCAGTCTTACATTTAGGACTCCTAATTTTATTTACTAAGAGCAATTCACAAAGTATTTTAGGCCTAAAAGTAGCACCTAAGTTTAGGAGAGCTTAAAAGTCCTCGAGAGGACTCCTAACTCAGGAAGACCTATTCACAAAGAATCTGAAAATGGCTGCGAGACGAAATGTTTTGGAGACAATGGAAGACTGTGAATTGATCAAGAGATATAGGCAAAATCGTGAGGGTATCAAACTTGTTGTGGAATTAGTGCGGGATGCAATAACATCCCCGACTAACAGGAATAACCCGATTAGTCCGGAAATAAAATGTTTGGCAACACTACGATATTTAGCAACAGGGAAAATGCAACTTTGCAATGCCGACGATTTAAGAATATCGCAACCATCAGTCAGCCGTGCCATAAACCAAACCATCAACGCGCTCTCTAGACCACATATCATCCAACAGTTTATCCGGTTTCCTTTGGACAATCAACAACTACACAGGATCAAAGCCAACTTCATGGCAATGCAGGTATGCCCGGTGCGGTCGGTGCTATTGACGGGACGCACATAAAAATAATTGCGCCATCAAAAGATGAGGACGTGTTCGTCAATAGAAAGAAAGTACATTCCATCAACACGCAGATTGTTTTCATTCATCATGATAGGGGGGCTTTAACGGCGGTATGGGCTGTTATTGAAAGTGTTTAAGTGCTGGAAATATGCTCATTGGATAATAGTTTGCGGGGTGCTTTTAATTGCCTCCTTGATTTAATGCAATTTACGTATTTTTATTGTTTGCTCTCTCTCTTTAACGTGCATATACAACGTCATTATCGTGGTCTGCACAAACGTATCATCATGCGTGTATTCTGCTAACTGCACTGTCCATAACTATTTGATAGGAATACATTTCTAGCCTAGGCTATTTCCTTGTTTTGTGGGCTCGTTGTGGGCTCGTTTGTGGGATGTTGCGGATGAGTTTCACCGAGACCGCCTGCTCTGAAAAACCAATCACCGTACTGACCGCTTCTAAACTCATGTACGAGAANTTAAATCTTTACAGAAATGTATATTTGTCCTGTCCTTTACATGCACACATGTAACACAAGTAATTTAACTTTATCTACATATTATGTTTTCTGGCAAATCATTTCAGCAGAAGGCCTTAGCTGTACTAACCCTCCTGTTATCCTCAGATTTACTTTACACCCTTTATCCTCTGGGGTCAATTTGACCCCAGTAGTTTAAAAATCAACGATCATATTCCACATTTTAACCAAAATGTATGTCTCTGGTGCTTTAGGTGTCTTAGTTGACTACCTAAATAACCATTTAAATAAAAAACATTACCCCAACCTTCCCCCCTACAGACCCCTTTATATGTTTGTGTTATGTGTTATGTTTAACGTTGCTGCCTTCTTGGCCAGGTCAGCATTGAAAATGAGATTTTATCTCAATGCTTTTTTATCTGGTTAAATAAAGGTTAAATAAAATAAAATTATACATCCAGAATTCGTATTATGTGACTATAGAAAAATATATAAATCACCATCAAATCTCACTGATTGAAATAAAATGTTAAAGTCAGATCTTTTTGATGTTGTTAAAGGACCAATAACTAAAGCAGAGGGTAGTTTTGTTTTACAACGATACATTTGATTGTAATAGTCACCTCAATATCATCCTACACAATCAAGACAAATATGTTTAAAATGTTGACATTTTAATATGTTTTAAACTACTAAAACAGCCTGTGGTCAAATTGACCCCAAGGAACACCGATGCGTACAAAGTGCGTACAGGACATTTAAAAAAGATCTTCATGTTCATTTTATGTTTACCCATTAGTCCGCACTAAATTAGGAAAAGTCATGAAATATTAAGCAAAAAAATATGTGAACCATTTTTTTTAGATACGTTAAAAATTGAAAGGGGTTAAATTGACCCCAATGATAACAGGAGGGTTAATTTATAACTTTTTCCTGTTCCTTTTTCGATTATCTATAAATCCATAAATGCAACAAACTATAGTTGTATACATTATATACATCATAACTGTACAACAAAACTTGTTATCAAATATGTTTTGTGTCTCCAGACAAATGTTATTTTGTGGCAAAATGGCTTTTCTAATAGAAAGGGTTGTCGACCACTGTAGACAAGATGGGTTGAAGTAGAGACAACACAAAAAAATAAAAAATTAAGTACTTCAGGAAAAGCCTAATTACCGAGACTAAATATCCATGGCAGTGAGTGTGTATGACTACAACCTTCTACTTCATGTTGTAAACATTAGGCACCATCGGTGACTGGAAGCATCACTTCACTGTGGCCCAGAGCGAGAGGTTCGACCAGGTCTTCCAAAGAGAGATGAAGGACACCCCTCTACGTTTTATCTGGGACATTTAGTGATCAAGTTGCAGCTTGATGAACACTATGTTAGCTATCTCATTCCTTCAGTCTCTGTACATGTTAGCCTGGGATAACACTACAGTTTCCGAAGCATACTCATCCCGGCAGCTTTTAGTTTACATGCATTTCAGAACGATTTTTAAATCTATGAAAAGCTTCATTTCAATACAGTGGTCCACTATATAAAAAAATATACTACTGTATACTATATAATATATTAGTGGATTTAATTTTCTTCTGATCATCCAGTAGATGTTGTGAAGTCTTTCGTCACATAAATCATTGTTTGACGGTTGTCATATTTGTGCAATGTATGAACATGGAAGAACTACCAGGTGGATTACATAAAGTATACGTCTATTTCCTTTCTAATGATTCACTTTGATTTAGGCATACTTGCAATAATATTTTATATATACATACGCATGTAGATATATATGCAAATAAACATTTCCAGCACTAGATTATATTTTTTTAATTATTGTACTTTAAGGAAACTTGTATCACTGTTTGTCAACACAATAAACACAGATGCTCTTGAAAAGTGTCTTATTTTCCGTCTTTTGTGTATGGACTCTAATAACCCTCCACTGTGAATCCTGCCATCATGCTGCTCCATCACTGAGTGCTTACGCGTCGTATAACAGTGTGTCTGAAGTGAAGCATTGTGTGAGTTTCAGCTAAACAGTGTCTATGTGACGGACAGCACGAGTAAGTTCCACTGTGAGATGCCCACATGTTATATGGGGGGGATTATGTGTTACTCTCTTTATATATACAGTCTATGGTTACTCTACAGGTTATTGATACTTTGTGTATTTGTTACATGTAACTTAAGCAATACTATTATCCTTGACTCAAGTAATTAGAGTTAAAACAATGATCAGTAGTAGTTGTATAATGTTGAGTACATATATGAACTAAAGTATTTTATGGAAAAACATAGTGTACTGTTTTGAAGTATTTCCTTGAGTATTTTAATGGTTTGCTGCTCCCCCATTAAAGAGGGAAACATTGTATCTGTATTTATCCACCTCTTTTTTTAATTATCATGCTAATGAAGTATACTGATATATTCTTGCCTCCCCAGGGCAGACAGAATGCTTTAGTGCCATCGGCAGGGTCGAACAGAGCCAGGACACAGGTTTATTTTGTCAATTTTATTGTTGGGGCATAGAAATGAAAAATGTATGTGTTTCTGTTTCTGAGGAATTCCTCTGCAGCTGCTGTTAGAGTCTTTGAAAGGTAATTGTGATGTTAGACACATCAGATCATATTCCTGTCAGATCATATTCCCGAGGAGCAGTCTGTTCTGACCGTCAGTCTGTCCTCTCCTGCTTTAGTCCTCGTCACTCCCCATGGCTAAAGGGTCAAAGTCTGGGTCGTCCTCATCCAGGTCCAAGTCCTCGATGTCCTGGAATAGGGACTCATCCACCTCCACGTTGTTTCCGGCTGCAGAGGGAGGGAGCAGGTTTGAGTTTGAATAGAACATTAAAGATTAGAGATATTAAAGGGGCCCTATAATGCTAATTTTCATGTTCATATTTGTATTTTGTGCCTGTACTGTGACATGTGTACATGCTTAAATGTTCAGGTCACAGTGTGTGGGAGAGAAAGTCCCTCTGAAGGTAACTTTGGGATTTGAGCCTTTGCAGACCATTTACATGCACAAAAACCTATAGAACACAATACAGGAAAGGGAAAGCTCCAAAAAGTATGCCAGGGCCCTTTATCATATTCAGGGCTCTATAGCCCCACAAGTCTCCAACATGTTTTGACCATATCATTACACCTGATTCAATTGAACAACAATGATAACAACATCAGTTTAAACACTCACTGTCTTCAAGGAACTGAATGTCCGATGTGTCCAGGTTGTGGTCTGTCTCAAACAGCTGTTTACCTGGGGAGGGACACATTTTCTTTAGTATTTCATAGAGCCTTGACGGAGAAATGTTGAGTAAAAGACTCATTGTTTACCAGAGAGTTTGATCTTTCCCGCCTGCTCCTCTTCTTTCTGTCTTTTACTCCTCAGCTCGGCCATCTCCAGCTCAAACCTGCCTCTCCACGCCAGGAAGTTCTCGATTGTTACTACGGTGCCCTGGAAGGCCACCTGATAAACACACATTTATCATTATATTCAACTTCAAATGCGAGACTGAACTTCTTAATACTGCTGCGGGCTCAAAGAGGGGAAAATAGCCACAGTGTGGATTCAGAGCTCAGCAAAGTCTCTGGCTTTAGACCAGATCTGTACATCTAACTGAACGACTTGACTCACGATATTTAAGAATGATCATATTGCATCCTTCTATAATGTATATAGTATCCTATGTGATTATATTTTGGTAGTGATTTGGAATATTACAGGGTTTTCAAACTTATTCTATTTATTTTGTGCATTCCTCAGATACTTATATTACTGCCGTTGATTTGTATATATTTACAGTTTATATTTATTTCTTCCTATGCTTACACATGTGAAATGCTTCGTAAACATGCTGCCATAACTAAACAATTTCCCAATTTGGGATCAATAAAGTATATCTAATGTAAAACGTGTATGTGAAATGTTCCCACCTTCTCTGCCTCCTCTTCCTCTTCATCTATCCGTCGCTTCTCCTCCTCACGTCTGTTTTTCATCAAATCCACTATTTCGTTGAGTTTATCTTGAACGGCTGTGACCAGCGTGAAGATCATCACCATGCCCAGGTTTTCATCTGCCTGTAGAGCAACCACACACACTTAGTCCTCGTGTCCATGGTAACAGACAGAGCCAAAAAACAAATGTAGGGAAACCTTGTAAACTGTTTATGATTTTTATCATCAGAGCGCTGCTAGTTTGTGACATTAAAGTTTATTTATTGTCCAAAGGATCCAAAATAACTATTCATTTTAAACAGATATCTTGGCTTTATTCAAAAAATAATTTAATAAATATAAAATAATAAATCAAAACTGCAAGCAGCAATGAACAGGTCCTGGCACTCCAAACACAATGGGGGTAGGGCAAAATGCTGCTTGATGCAGCCGTGCTTTGCCCTGACCGTTGGAGACCTGGGCTGCGGTCGAATAATAATAATAATAAATTATATTTCTATAGCGCTTTTCTTGAACCCAAAGATGCTTTACATTTGGGAGGGAGGGTAGACAAACAAAAACAAAAACAAAAAAAAATAGTCAGTTTAGGCTTAGGAACCTTCCTAACGGAGTGAAATGACCCGGAAGTCCCTCAGTGGCAGCCATGATAAGAGCCGTTCAAATTCTCTAGATGATAGGAAAGGAGGTTTCAAACTTCCTTTATAACCTCCTTTAGCTTAGGAACCACTGGACCTCCCTTTACGAAAGGAGAGGAGAAAATGCTGCCCCACAATGCCTTGCGGCCGCAACATTTACCGTGACACAACATTCGAAAGGAAATACGAAATACTTACACCTGTTGTCTCCTTTGTATAAGGAAGTACTGGTTTCAACCTTAAATTTATTTTTTTTCCTTTCACTTTGAATCCGAAGTGTCATAATTAGGTGTACTTAGGGTTATGGCATGCTAACAATACTTTTCACAACTTGCAAGTTTTGTTTTCGTGAATTCGTTGAATGGTGTATTCAACATTTTACGAATTATTCGTGGCATTGAAAGTAATAATAGTAAAGCGAAACCAGTATTAGCCGGAACAAAGGC